GGCGAACTCCACATCTTCCTAAATTTTAGTTAGATTTGCATTGAAAACAGTGGCGAACTCTACATCTTCCTAAATTCAATACAATTTGTATTGAAAATAGTGGCGAACTCTACATCTTACAATATACTGTTTAGATTTGCATTGAAAAAAGTGGCGAACTCTACATCTTCCTAAATTTTAGTTAGATTTGCATTGAAAAAAGTGGCGAACTCTACATCTTCCTATATTTTATTTAGATTTGCATAGAAAAACGTGGCGAACTCTACATCTTCCTAAATTTTAGTTAGATTTGCATTGAAAAAAGTGGCGAACTCTACATCTTCCTAAGTTTTAATTAGATTTGCATTAAAAAAAGTGGCGAACTCTACATCTTCCTAAACTGAGTTAAATTTCAATCAAAGTTGAATATAACTTAACTTAAATTTATAGGATCAACTATTTATTTTTATGTTTTTTAACTTTTTTAAAATTTCAAGTCTTTTAATAGCTTTGTTTAATTTTGCCTAAATCTCAATTTTGCCTGACACATATACATTGAGTTCATACCAGAGTTATAATCGGTAGGGTAAATTGCGTCAAAGTATCTTATTAAACTGATCCTGTTAACCCTTTGAGTACCGGCTTTTTTTTTGCAAAACTCGAATTTTTTTAATGAAATTTTTAAATATGATCTTTACTTTTTTACGAAGAAATTACATTTTTGTGTTAAAAAAAATCGATAATAGTTCATCTTTGTATGGTAGACTTTGAAGCAAAATATCTTCATGATCTTTTGGCAATATTTTCAGTAACATTTGAAAAAATTGTTCAGCTATATCAAAATGATTATCTTCTTCTAAGAGTAGATTACCAAACAGAATTACGGGACTTCGATTTTCTGTTCCTATTGTTAAATTTAAAGTTTCTTCTGTTATATTCGATAATTCATCTGTTGCTATCATTTTTACTTTTCATAAATTGAATGTCGATTCGAATTCAATTGTTTCAATTCAAAAAACAGTTCCCAAAGAAAAAAGAACCTCTTGCTCACATTGTAGTTAACTGCATTTATCAACATTAGCAAAAATAATTCTCGTATTTTGACAATTGACTTCTATTTTAAATAGAACTACTTTCAATTCATCAATATCTGTAGCTCCTAATATAAATTGCATGGCAACTGTTAAGAGACGAGATGTTGACAAAAAATCATTTGTAGATATTAAATTACCAATATTTTCTTTAAATTCATTAAATTTATTTGTAAACATCATTTGACCACCATATAATTTAAGAATATCACTATCAGGAATACATTTTACGTTCATATTTCAATTGTTTACATAAATCAATGATAAAAAATCGAAAACCGAAAAGCTTCATGAATCGTATAATTTCTACGAAATCGCTCAATTTTGATTAGTTCACGCTTATTAAAACAATAATAATCTTCA